GTGTGTATATACACATTACCCATAATACCCCAGTATACACACATTACCCATAATGCCCCAGTATATACACATTACCCATAATACCCCAGTGTGTATATACACATTACCCATAATGCCCCAGTATGTACACATTACCCATAATACCCCAGTGTGTACACATTACCCATAATACCCCAGTGTGTACACATTACCCATAATACCCCAGTGTGTATATACACATTACCCATAATGCCTGTTGCCCCATCTCCCAGAAGGCACTCACCCCTTTTCATTACCAAGCTCCCCCTGCTCTCACATGCTCACAGTCAGTAATTCCATTCCGACCAATCAGCGAGCGCTGTGAGCACGGGGCATGCCGGGAAATGGAGTCTTTCCGCTCACAGACTGAATGCAGCTACACAGCTGCTTAGAGTTTATCATCCATAGGAAACAGGGAAAGGGATACAATGTAATAATATAATATATAATGTAATAATATGATATAATGTAATAATATAAAATAATGTAATATAATGTAATATATACTGTAATATAATAATGTAATATAATGTAATGTAATAATATAATATACTGTAATATAATATAATATGTAATATAATATAATAATGTAATATAATGTAATATATACTGTAATATAATAATGTAATAATAATATAATGTAATGTAATATACTGTAATATAATGTAATATAATATAATGTAGTATAATATACTGTAATATAATGTAATAATGTAATAATATGATATAATGTAATAATATAATATAATGTAATGTAATAATATAATAAAATAATATAATATACTGTAATATAATATAATAATGTAATATAATGTAATGTAATAATAAAATAATATAATATACTGTAATATAATAATGTAATATAATAATGTAATATATACTGTAATATAATAATGTAATATATAATGTAATGTAATATAATGTAATAATGTAATATATACTGTAATATAATATAATAAAGTAATATAATATAATGTAATATAATATACTGTAATATAATGTAATATAATATAATGTAGTATAATATACTGTAATGTAATATAATATAATGTAATATACTGTAATATAATGTAATAATGTAATATAATAATGTAATAATATATACTGTAATATAATGTAATATATAATATACTGTAATATAATATAATGTAATAATGTAATGTATTACAATATAATGTAATAATATAATATAATGTAATGTAATATATACTGTAATATAATGTAATATATAATATACTGTAATATAATATAATGTAATAATGTAATGTATTACAATATAATGTAATAATATAATATAATGTAATGTATTATATATACTATAATGTAATATCTCTGTGTGTCAGGCTGGGGGTGTAATATAATGTAATATAATATACTGTAATATAAAATAATGTAATAATATAATATACTGTAATATACTGTGTCAGGCTGGGGGTATAATATAATGTAATATAATATTCTGTAATATACTGTATGTCAGGCTGGGGGTATAATATAATATGCTGTGTGTCAGGCTGGGGGTATAATATAATGTAATTGTAATATAATATACTGTAATATAATGTAACGTAATATACTGTATGTCAGACTGGGGATATAATATACTGTGTGCCAGGCTGGGGGTATAATATAATATACTGTGTGTCAGGCTGGGGGTATAATGTAAAATACTGTGTGTCAGACTGGGGGTATAATGTAATATACTGTGTTTTTAGACTTGGGGTATAATATACTGTGTAGGCATGTGCATGCGGAAAATTTTCGGCTTGGTTTGGCATTCCGAAATTCGGGATTTTCACAATTCGGGACTTCGGCACTTTGGGACTTCTATTGCAGCGCTTAGTAGTTAACTCCCTAATTCCCATGGTATTAGGGAGTTATCTACCAAAAGGCTGAAAGAACTAAATTGGTCTTTCAGCCAAATTTACTAATACTAAGCCTGTGGCTGCTCACTGTTTAAAAAAATAAATAAAATAGGGTCCCCCCTCCCGAGGCCCCACCCGCGACGCGTGAGTGGGGGCTTCTAACCTGAAGGGGGGACCTATTGCCCCCACCCCTGAGCGGTGGGTGGGGGCCCTAAAGTAAAATGATGGGTGTAGCGGAATAGTAGTATTATCCATTTGTGAATGCCACGGGATAATGGGATTATCCCTTGCTACAGAGAAATACAGTTTTTACATTAAAATCCATAACCGACATAATATTCCTACTAGGCAGCTACTAAACCCTTTATTACATAGCTGGGACCTGAGCGCACAGTTAAGGGAACTTGCGCTCAGATCCCAACACAAATAACCGAACGCGGTTCATTTTACTGTATCAGGACTGTGGCAAACCTAGCCACTTTAGGTCATACTGCATAACATTTAAAGGTTGTCTGTAAAAAGCTGTGTTAATCTTGTGTAAGAATGTATTCGTGTATTTTTATAATAGAGAGCATGCATATGCTAAGAGCCAAAAGCTGTTAGCATTCATATGGTAGTTTAACGAACAGTGACTTTATACA